GCATGACTTATTTTCCCCTTGTCAAAATCAGAGCACCCGGCAATTATAAGAGCCACAGCCGAGGAACATGACGGGGCTGTCAGGTGGTGTGAGTTGCTGAACAGGTTCCCATTGTTACTGTAGGAGCTCACAGAGCCGCATTGTGTGTGGCTGAATTGTTGTCCCAAGTGAGCAAGGGTGAGACAGGGAGTTGGCAAATGGATAAAAAAGGCACGTGTGGTTAAGGGGAGGAACAGGCTGGGTAAGTGGGGTGGGGGAATAATCTCTTAATCACTTGAAAAATGAAGGGAAAACAGGATCTGTGAAGTAACCTACAAATACTTTTTGGACAGGTTAACATTTGCCTTCTGGTGTCTGACATATGACTTCCCCCAAAGAATCTCAGGAACTGTAGTTTGTTCAAGGTGCTGGGAATTGTAGCTCCGTGAGGGAAGGAAACTACAATTTCCAGGATTCTTTGGGGAAGTCACATGCTTTAAATGTGATTTACATGTAGGATGTGTACACAGCCTTTGACTTGAGTTCATTTTCTGTTATCCTGGTGCCCTGGGAAGTGGTGCAGGGAACTGCTGTTTCTCACGCTGTCTAGATAACTTGGAAAGCCCTAGCCCCTATCGAATGAGCCCACACTTCACAGGGGACAGGAATTAGAAAACACCATTGTGAGATAGTTTGAAAACATGCCCACCTGTGTGTACAGACAGCACAGGTGGTAGCTGCTGCTTTAGATGACGTTATTGCATCAAAGTGTGTGCAATTACAAGCAGCAGAAAAGTGCACTGCAAAAAAAAAATGACCTGTACATGTTTCAAAGGCCACATCTGTACAGAGCCTTTGATTACCTGTAGGTCAGGTTGGCTGGCATCTCACTGAAGACCACAAGAGCCTACTAATGTCACGGGAGTATTTGGAGGAGTAGCAAACATTTGCACCAGCGATGGAAAACTGCTGTGACCCTTCAGAAGATGTTGGACTCAAAGTCCCATCAGCTCCAGCCAGCAAATGCAGTGGTCAGAGTCGATGGGAGTTCTGGTCAAGGAATATTTTGAGGGCCACAGCTACCCCCACCCATGTTTTACACACTTTGAAAAGTTCTACATTTTTCTAATGGTATTATTATCCTCATTTATCGGTTGTTACACAGGGATAAACAAGACACTTGATTGCAATCATTCACCAGTCTCTTTTCTTAATGAGCATTTAGCATAACTAGTAATTTGCCGATATCATAATTAATGGTGAGTCATAACAACTGGGAGTAAGCCCACTAAGCTTAGTGAGGCTTACTTCCAAGTAAAGTTGTTGTTAACAGAATACACTGCTACTATGGTTAATGAAGTTGCAATATACTGCAGCACATTAGCAAAGTATGCGAGCCATCCACACAACAGCTGTTTCAGAGTTCAGCAATCTCATAAACTTCAATAGGGCTTTGCTGACATTAATACACAGGTGGTGGTGATTTGCTTTTTGCAACCATATATTTGAAGAGACAGGTGGATGAATTTGTTGTTGGGAAACCTACTCCAGGATTTAATTTTGACAATTGCAAGCCTGTTCTGTGTATCAGCTGGCATGTACAAAGCGGTCCATTCATTTACAAAGTCTGTACCTTTGCAAGCCTAGGCAGCATAAAAATGCATGAGTGAGGGTTAAAGTGCCATTTTTACTTTAAAGATTTTCCAAAATCTCTTTGATTATGACCAACATTGTTTGAGCCTGCCAGAACTCTTCATAAGGTTGAATGTTAACCAAAGTGGCCTTTGGGAGTGTGAATAATGCCGACTTGCATCGAAGCCATAATGTCTGCATTGGTCAACTGCTTACTTTTGTTGCATAGTCTGGCACGAAACATGGCGATGAGGATCAGGTTATCGGGCTTGTCGTGAAGATCACTTGCACTTAAGAATTTGCCACCACATCCCTACTGGAGTTTCTTCACCCCGGATGCAGAAAAGGTGCTGAGCTCTGCCCCAGCATCACCAAGGAGCTCTCCTCCTCTCCCAAACCTAGCCAGAATTAATGATATCAAGAGTCAGGGATGCTAAGTAAGTCCCACTGAACTCAGCTGGATTTTAACATGCTTAGGATCAAGCAGTTGGAAATGCACATACTGTACAAGTTACAGAAGATTCCAGCTAACATCAGGAAGAGCTTTCTGACAGTAAGATCTGATCAACAGTGGAACGGTCTTCCTAGGAAGGTGGTGGACTCTCCTTCCTTGGAAGTTTTTAAGCAGAGGTTGGATGGCTGTCTGTCATGGATGCGCTAGTTGAGATTCCTGCATTGTAGGCTGTTGCACTAGATGACCCTTGGGGTCCCATCCAACTCTACAACTCTATGAGTCTATGCAAGATATAGGCTTAAGGATAACCAATGAAGTGCAGCCCATCTGGGAATGACTATCCATGAATTTCAAATTGTGTGGCTTATGCAACAAGGTGATGCCATTGTGAACCATATCGGCATACAGTCAACAAGCTGGACCTTTAACATCTGCCTGAAGCAATGTAAGTTTTTGTTTGTTTTTAATTGCTATTAGCTTTAGGTGAGTCAAGCATGGGGGAACTAGAGCAGGGTAATCTGTAGTCCTCCAGTTGTTGCTAGAATCCCATCACTTTCAGACAGTATAGCTAATCACCAGGGATGAGGGTTAAATACTTGTTATGTTTTTAACAATGTTGTTATTGATTCCTGTTATTGGCCTAGATGACCCTCAAGGTCCCTTCCAGACCTACAGTTCCATGATTCTACTATCTAAACCTTTGGAATGGGGATGGCTACAAATGAAATTAAGAAAGCACATTGAATTCCTGTTGTTGGCAGTATGTTGCAAGATGGGTTAGTTAATTGGTTGGCTCAGGTTGTTGGAACAGGGCAGCACTCCCTGCGGACTACACTTATTTAAAAGAGGGCTCCACACACCTACACTCTGCAGTCTTCTAGCCACTCACTGGGAAGTAACCCTTCACCTACTGCAGTTGCAGTCATGGGGAAATCAAACAGGTAATATGTATCAAGTGAAGAAATCCTCATCCCCTCTCTGGTGTGTACTGCAATGTGCAATGAGAACTTCATGAATAAGAGTTTGAGAGAGTTGCATGAGTAGGAAAACCAAACAGGTAATGCAGATCAGGTGAAGACAGCCCTGCTTCTTCCCTGGTGTGTAGTGCAACACAGCAGTGGAGAATGACCTTGCTGCATTTTAAGTAGCTAATGTAAACATACCCTTTGTCTTAGCCTTTATGTAGCTTTCCTACCTCTGGAATAAGCAAAGCCCTTCTAGTCTCCCCAACTGACCTTTCTCTGCCTCTTTTTATCAGCCCACCCCCCACCGCCTTCCTCTTTGGAAATGACCCACTTCCTTCCTAACCATCCTGGCTGGTCACTTAACAAATCCACTTCTCAGTACCTCCAACAAGCAGCTCTCGCCATCTACCTCCACCAGCCACCAATGTGTTTGTTTACATGCCATCCTCCAACTCAACTTCTCAAACTGGCAGGCTGTCAAAGGGCAAGAACCAGTTTCCAAACCGGTTGTGTAACATAATGGCATTTTGCACAAGCTCAGAATGTGGTAAGGGATCCTCGCCATGACCAGATGCCAACATATATATTATTTATTGTGGTTAATTGCAGAAACTCTAGGTGGTAAAGGGACTTGCCTAGTGTAACAGAGTGACTAAGAAATTGAAACCCAGGACTTATTTCCATAATATATGACTGCATTTGAACGTTTCAGCTTGGTTAGTCATGGGCAGAATATAAAATAATGTTTGAAGTTCATAGAAGCCTTCTGGGCTTTTAGGGCCTCTCCAGCATCGTGGTGCCCTCTAGATGTTGCGGACTCCAACATCCATCAGCCTCAGCCGGCATGCTAAATGGTCAGGGTTGATGAGTGATGTAGAAACTGGGAGGTTGACAGATTCATCCACCCACATCTTAAGTAAGACTCCCATTTGCCCTGTGACAAAATATTGTGGTTGGAGTGCTGGTAAACGGCAATATATGTGCAACTGATATGTTACCTTGAGAGAAGATCTCTGGGTGTTATGCAACAGACAAGCAACAACTGCACATTTATTGCACTACCTTTTGATGACCTAGAAAGGTTCCCCCCCTCTTAAGCAGTCACCAATTTTACATACAAAGAATTTGGCATAGAGCTGGATCTGTGTTATGTTGGTGGGTTACAAACATTCCTCTTCTTCCTCCCCCCGCCTCCGTGTTGTTGTTGTTGTTGTTTCCTAATCTTCTTCTTCCTGCTGATTTCTGGAAGCCTGCATGCATGCAGTTGATCTTGCTAAAGCCGTCCATAGGAACAGCTTATAACAGGGTGAGAGAAAGGGAAGGAAAGGGGGATGGTCAACATTCCCATATATGTTGTTGTTAATTAAATTTCTATACCGCCCTTCATCTGAAGATCACATGGAGGTTTACAATATAAAAGCAAAAGTATACTTACCATAATAACAAATAAATATAATAACTCCACCACCACACATACATACAAGATCCCATACATAAAAGGTAAAGGGACCCCTGACCATTAGGTCCAGTTGTGACTGACTCTGGGGTTGCGGCGCTCATCTCACTTTATTGGCCGAGGGAGCTGGCATACAGCTTCCAGGTCATGTGGCCAGCATGACAAAGCCGCTTCTGGGGAACCAGAGCAGCACACGGAAACACCGTTTACCTTCCCGCCAGAGCGTTCCCTATTTACAGTATCTACTTACACTTTGATGTGTTTTCGAATTGCTAGGTTGGCAGGAATCCCATACATATCTACTTGGAATTAATTCTCATTGCATTTCATATTTATTTATTTATTTATTTATTTACTTACTTACTTACTTACTTACTGCATTTTTTATCCTGCCTTTCCTCCAAGGAACTCAAGGAGGTATACATAGTTCTCTTCCTTCCCATTTTATGCTCACAACAACCCTGTGGGGAAGGCTAGGCTGAGAGAGTGGTCCAAGGTCTCCCAGTGAGTTTCATGGCTGAGCGGGGATTTGAACCCTGTTCTCCCAAGTCCTAGTCCAACTCTCTAACCACTGAACCACCCTGGCTCTCATTCAATGATGCTTACCCCCAAGAAAATGGGTATTTACTCCGTTTTTGAAGGAGCACCCAAGTGATGTAAAAACGAACTTCTGTTGTCCAAGTTGGTGTCCATTAGCTGTGAATTCTATAGCTTAACTTTGTGCTGTATGAATTTCTTTTGTCTGTCCCAAATCTGTCAAGAATTGCTCACCACTGAGTTTCTCTACATAATTCTATACATTTATATCATGTCCCTCTTCCTTTTTTTTCTGTGCTAAAAGGGCTCAGTCTTTGTCACCTTTCTTCAATTAGAAGAAGAAGAAGAAGAGTTTGGATTTGATATCCCGCCTTTCACTCCCCTTCAGGAGTCTCAAAGCGGCTAACATTCTCCTTTCCCTTCCTCCCCCACAACAAACACTCTGTGAGGTGAGTGGGGCTGAGAGACTTCAAAGAAGTGTGACTGGCCCAAGGTCACCCAGCAGCTGCATGTGGAGGAGCGGAGACGCGAACCCGGTTCCCCAGATTACGAGACTACCGCTCTTAACCACTACACCACACTGAAATTAAAGTTTTACTCATCATTAAGTGGTGATTGTTTTCATAAGATGCCATGAAGGAGTCTACAGATGTACAGAGGTTAAAAACAGATCAGTAGAGCTGAAAGCTCAAAGTGACTGTGTCCTGCATATGAAACTTAACAAGAATCTATCACTGGGCAAGTTGCTGTGTTTATATGTTGTTCTTGTATTTACATGAAAACCAATAAAAATTATCTGGATTAGAAAGCTTAAAGTGAATCACTGGTGCCATTAAGCAGATTCATTAGCATCTTATTAACAAAAAAATTAATTGGAGTTGCCAGAATTCAAGGTGTGTCAGTCAGGTCTGGCCTTACTAGGAATCAACATGACGTTATTGCTTCAGGCAGAAAAGGGTGCCATTTTTCTGCCTTTAGTCTCTACTTCTATGTCTCATTGAAAATAGTATTTAAATACAGCTGCACTCAGGAGCAGTAACACGAAGCTATTATTTAATCCTTGTGTGACCAAAGCAAAAGTAATCTGATCGCCATAGATTTAATTACTGATTGTACTTTCAGTATCTGATAGGCATAAATTTTAGTACTGATTGTACTTTAAATACATTTTCAAAATACACACACACAAAATTGTTTTCTTTTTTTCTTTTTTTTTTTTTTTTAAAGCAATTTATTGGATTTTACAATAAGAATAAATGTAATAAACAATATAACATTCGTCTTAACATAGTTTCACATTTTCTTTGGACTTCCTCACATCTCCCGCTCCCACCTTCATCATTATAACATTTTGTCAGCAATTTATCATCTTATTTAAGTTCTTATATCTCTTCAATATTTCATAATCTTAAAGTTCTCATAAAGAGTTAAACTTTCACAGTTTTTCTTATTTTCTTAAAAATTTCTAAGTTAAGTGGTGCTCAGTTATTTAGTCTAGCATCTTATTCAGCATTCAGTCAAATCACAATGTTTTTGTAGATAGTTCTTAAATTTCTTCCAATCCTCCTCGATTCTCTCTTCTCCCAGGTCACGGATTCTGCCAGTCATTTCAGCCAGTTGCATATAGTCTATCAGTTGCATCTGCCATTCTTCCAGTGTGGGTAGATCTTGAGTTTTCCAATGTTTTGCGAGTAGTATCCTTGCTGCTGTTGTTGCATACATAAAAAATGTCTGGTCCTTCTTTGCCACCCCTTGGCTGACAATACCCAAAAGGAAAGCCTCTGGTTTCTTAGTGAAAGTATATTTAAATACCTTTTTCAGTTCATTATAAATCATTTCCCAGAACGCCTTCACTTTAGGGCAGGTCCACCAGAGGTGAAAGAACGTTCCTTCACACTCTTTACATTTCCAGCACTTGTTATCAGACAGGTGGTAAATTTTTGCGAGTTTGACTGGGGTCATATACCATCTATAAATCATTTTCATTACATTTTCTTTCAAAGCATTACATGCAGTAAATTTCAATCCATTACTCCACAGCCTTTCCCAGTCCTCAAACATAATATTATGCCCAATATCCTGTGCCCACCTTATCATAGCCGATTTAACCATTTCATCTTGTGTATTCCATTCCAACAGCAAGTTATACATCCTTGAAAGTATCTTAATCTTTGGTTCTAACAATTCTGTTTCTAATTTCGATTTCTCCACCTGGAACCCTAGTTTCTTATCATTTTTAAAAACTTCTTTAATCTGAGCATAGTGTAACCAATCTCGCACTTTGTCTTTCATTTTCTCCAAACTCTGCAATTTCCAATTGTCTCCATCTTTTCTAGTATTTCCCAATATTTTGGCCATTTGGCCTCCATATTGGGTCTTTTCGAGCCTTAGCTTCCAAAGGTGAAAGCCACCTTGGTGTTTTATTTTCCAGCAAGTCTTTATATTTTGTCCAGACATTAAACAGTGATTTTCTAACAATATGGTTCTTAAAGGCCTTATTTGCTTTAACTTTGTCATACCATAAATATGCATGCCATCCAAAAACATTGTTAAACCCCTCCAAATCCAACACATCAGTGTCTTCAAGAAGCAGCCAATCTTTTAGCCAGCAGAGCGCTGCGGCTCGTAATACAACTTTAAGTCCGGCAGGGCAAAGCCCCTCTTTGTTTTGCATCAGTTAGTATCTTAAACTTAATTCTGGGCTTTTGCCCTGCCAGACAAACTCGAAATGTCTCTCTGCCACTTCTGAAAGCACTCCATTTTGTCCAAAACCTGAAGTGTTTGAAATAAAAACAACATTCTTGGCAATACATTCATCTTAATTGCAGCAATTCGGCCTAACAAAGAAAGTTTCAATTTTGACCAACTGTCTAAGTCTCTCTTAATTTCTGTCCAACATTTTTCATAATTATCCTTAAATAGACTTAGATTTTTGCTGTTATGTTTACCCCTAGGTATTTTACTTTTTTAACCACATTAAGTTCCGTCTCATTCTGAAACCGTTCTGACTCTGTCTCAGTCAAATTTTTCCCCAAAACCTTGGTTTTGTGTTTATTTAATTTAAATCCCGCCACCCGACCAAAGTCATTAATCAATTGTAATACTCTTTTCGTACTAGGCTCTGGCTTCTGCAAGGTCAAAACCAGGTCATCTGCAAAAGCTTTTAGTTTATATTGTTTCCACAAAATTGTTTTCTGTAGTGGTCAGCTGCTGGACCACTGTAGTGGTCATATTCATGAATAAGAACATAAGAACTCAAGAAGACCCATCTAGTCCAATATTCTGCTCTCATGATGGTCAACCAGATGCCTATGGGAAGCTGGCAGACAGGACCCGAGTGCAGGGGTGTACGAAGTGGGGGGCGGAGGGGGTGGGCCGCCCCGGGTGCCACTCTTGGGGGGGTGCGCATGCAGTCAGTATGGGTGCCGCTCTCTCGTGCTGTCCATACAGGCTGCTGCGCATGCATACTCTGTACAGGATGCCGCACATGCACACTCCGTACGGACGTCACACGTGCATCACCAGTGCCAGAGAGGGTTCCTCTGCCACTGCCCAAGTGCAGCAGCACAAATATTCTTCAAACATTGCCTTTATTGAAATAGTGTGCAGTGATACCTTGGTTCTCAAACGCCTTGGTTCTCAAACGCTGAAAACCCAGAAGTAAGTGTTCCAGTTTTCGAATGATTTTCGGAAACCGAATGTCTGATGCGGCTGTCAGCTACTGTTCCCGGGGCATCTTGATTTTCGAACATTTCAGAAGTCAAACGGACTTCCAGAATGGATTAAGTTTTGCGCTTTTGTTTTTGAGGGTTTTTCAGTGAATTTGTTTTTGTGACTGTGTGGAACCCAGTTCAGCTACTGATTGATTGATTGATTGATTGATTGTGTGATTGCAGAAATGGATAAAAGCTCCCCATCCAAACAATGACTATCATCAGTGCACGTAAGAAAAAAATTAATTTTAATTTTTATCATCTACAATATTGTCTTATTTATTTTATAGTACAGTACATTGATTATTGCTTTCATTTTATGGATAATGGTCTCATTAGATAGTGAAATTCATGTTAAATTGCTTTTTTTAGGGGTTGTTTTGAAACGGATTAATCCATTCTGGAACAGATTAATCCGTTTTGCATTACTTTCTATGGGAAAGCGCACCTTGGTTTTGGAACGGACTTCCGGAACGGATTAAGCTTGAGAACCAAGGTACCAATGTATATAACTCGCTAAATTAATCCATCCATTGTACAACATAACAGCAAGATAGTTAATTTACGTTACTAAGAAACACTCAGCCATAGATAGGGCTTGAGGGACACAGGAAGATGCCACAGGAGACTTGAAAAGTGGAAGGCTTTAGGAATGCTGAAGCTTTAGCCGAAGAAATAATAATGCTGATGCAAGGAGAAAAGTAACAGGACTTGTTTCTGGCCTCTGCGGTAGGAAAATGAAAAGTTATATTTCTTGCGGATGCAAAATTATTTGTTGTGCCGCTTTGTGGAACAATAAATGCAACTTGGTGCTGACATTTTTCAACACACTGAATTATTTTGCAGGGGGCTAAGAGGATTGGTTCAGTTTTGTCATTGCTGCTTCCTTCATGTCAACAATACAGAGCATTTTAATGAATATTTTACTTCCATGCGTTGCTGCAAATAATTGCAACGATTGCCTGTACAATGGATATTTAAGGAATGTGGGGATTTGCTTTTAATTGTCCATTATTTTCTTGACAATGGCTTCCAAACTATCCAGTATGTCACTGAATAGGATTGCGCATTTCTAATTTAGTACATTTATTTTAAAAATTGGGTGGTGCATTAGACTTTAAGAATCCAGCCATTGTTCATTTTACCAAGGAACTCTGGGAATGGAGATGAGCAAGGTACAAACATAGCACAGCTCTGACCTTTGCAAATAAAGAGGGCTGACCACAAGTGACTATTTGAATAACATTGCAACAGAGACACAAACCACTCCCATACAGTCATGTGCAGTGAGCTGATGTGAAACTACCCTGAAGATTACCAAAAGAAACAACTCAGC